TGGCAAGGCTGCTGATCAACTGAACGCTGTCTCCGTGTCATTCCTTCTTCGCCGACTCTGTCCACACCTTTGGGAACCCCTGGACCTGCTGGGGTCGGACCCCGGCACTTGTGTAGACAGCTCACGGCCGGGTTACATTCTTCTTCACCGAGCCTGCCCATCGCTGCCCTTGGATGGAGGTTTCTTACTTAGGTTTAAAGTCGCTGCTGGTGAGGACGGGCCTGCCCCTGCCGTCGCCCTACTGGCTCCTGTGTGTCGCCTGGCTCTGTGTCCCTCTTTTACCCGGTCACTGCCTTCTTTTGTGTTTAGTTGACGTCCTGTAGCAACAGATCTTGATGTTCTTCACATTCCCTTGTGTGTATCGTACAGATGTTTTCTCTGTGGTGATCATGAGCTGACATAGAACGCCCTAAAGTTTAGAACAGTCTAGTTTGGATGGACACCAACTTAACTTCGGTGGCATACAGAAACTCCAATCCCCTCGTGTTGCTGTAAAAAAAATGACAGATTTACACCTGTGCTGCCAATGACATAGACTTACAATTATTTGCATGCGTTCGTTTTTAAATCAGGTAGCAAATAAAAAGTGGAGTTACAACCAGAAATTGCAATGACAGTGGCTTTTCTATTTGCCCACATATTCAGCTTTATTGGAAATGTGTTTCTTCGTGTAGCCTTAATGTACTGCCTAGTGGTCATTTATTTCAACCTGAAGGACTTTTGAAGGCATGTCTCCTAGAGTAGGTCCAGCAAGAATAAACTCCCTCAAATTTTGTTTATCTGGAAATGTCTTCATTTCTCTCCCATTTTTGAAGGAAAGTTTTGCCAGATATAGAATTCTTTGTTAACTGGGTTTTTTCTTTCTTTCAATTCTTCACATACTGAAGGCCGTCCCCAGCCTTCCTGCATTCCACGGATTCTGACCATAAACTGGCTAATAATCATACCGAGGATGTCCTGTCAGCGACGCATAGCTTCTCTCTTGGTGTTTCTAAGATTTCCACATTGGCTCTCGGCAGTTTGGTTACAATGCATGTCGGAAGGGGTCTCTCTGAGTTTGTCCTGTTGGAGTTTGTTGAGCTTTTTGGAAGTTTTCAGCATTATTTCTTCAAATCATATTTCTGTCCCTTTTTCTTTTCTGCTGGGACTGTCATTATACGTATGTTGACCTTCTTGATGATGTCCCACCAGTTCCATAGGCTCTATTCACACCTCTCTCTCTCTCTCTCCTCTCTCTCTCTCTCTCTCTCTCTCTCTCTCTCTCTCTCTCTCATTTTTCCTGCTCCTCAAACTTGATACTTTGGATTGTCCTGTCTTCAAGTTCATTAAATCTTTCTTCTGCCTGCTCAAGTCTACGTTGAACCCCACGAGTGAGTTTTCCATTTCAGTTGTATTTTTCAACTCCTGTTTGTCTTTTCAAAAATAATTTCCACCTCTTTGTGAATATCTCATTTGGTGCGTGCACAGTTTTCCTGATTTCCCTTGGTTCTTTGCCCATGTTTCCCCTACCTCTTTGAGCATAGTTAAGACAGTTGTTTTAAAGTCTTTGTCTAGTAAGGCTGATAGCTGGACTTCCTCAGGGATGATTTCTGTAAATTTATTTTGCTCCTTTGAATGGGGCATATCTATTTTTTTATACATAAGCCTTGTGATTTTGTTGTTGTTGTTGAAAACTGGGGAGTT